TTCTGTTATACTTTTCTCAAGAGCAGAAGGCCGTTACCTCTCTTCTCAAGCACTTGGTTATCTATAATGCGTCTCCTGGGAACATCCCAAGAAAGTGTTCTCACAACTTCAGGCGTTCTTAATTAAGAAAGAAAGCTTGGGGCAAGAACATGGCGAGCCCTGGATGCAAGGCTAAGGAGTTTGGACTTTTGTTCCTGTGGGTAGTGAGGGCTTATTTTCACTTCTTCAACCAGAGAACACTCTGAGGACTTTAAAAGACTAGTAATTAGGTTGGGCCAACCCAGATAATCTTCCTACTTTAAGGTCAACTGTGCCATACTGCATAACCTAATTACAGAAGTGAAATTCATCATAGTCAATGCCTTGGGTTGAATGTCCCTCCAAAACTTAATTCCCACCGTAACTGTTGAGGGTTGGAAATTCTATTAAGGTAATTGAAAGGCGGGGCCTTGAGGCGGTGATTAGGTTGTAGGACTTTGCAGTAGTGAATGGATTAAAAATGGTAGTTAAGGGCATGGTTCAGAGGGCTTTAAAAGAAGAACACGTGAGAGGTTAGTCTCTCTCTGCTTCGCAGTTTTCTGCCATGTGAGACCCCTGGGTCACTGTCACCAGCACCAAGACCGTCACCAGATGAATTCCCTGGACTTTGGACTTCCCAGCCTCAGAAACTGTAAGTAATAAATTTCATTTTCTTATAAATTACCCAGTTCTGTGTATTTTGATATAAGCAACAGAAAAGGACTAATACAGTCACTGTCCCAGGGATTATGCAGGAGATGTACACCAGGGGTCAGGAATCTCAGGGGCTGTCTTAGAATTCTGCCTACTACATCCAGTGAGAAATGTTCTGTTAAATATTTCTCTACGGAGACCTCTGGCAGTTTGTTCTGTAACTCTCTCTGTGGCACAATATGCACCATACTGTCATTACTGTAGTATATTTTAAAGTCTTTTTCTAGGATGAAAGCTTCTTGAGATCAGGAACCTTCTTCACACCTGTAGCTCTAGGGACAAGGCTTGACATAGAGGAGATATTCCTATATGTTTGCTAAAAAAAAATAAATAAAATAAATAAAATAAAAGTGTACATATTGTCTTTTAGATCCCGGCTTCTTTTTTAGATCCAGCTCAGAATTTCTCTGACATATCTCAGGAAGAATTTATGCTCCCTCCTCTCTGCTGTAATTTGGCAAATATCTCTGTATGAAATGTATCACACTGTAGTATTTTAAGTTAGACTTTAGTTTCCTTAAGCATAGTACTTGACTTTTATTTTACTTAGTATCTTAGGGCACAGCACGTCATAGTTGTCATTAATTGCTTAATGTTTGAGTTTTAAAAAAGGAAATGTAAGGGGTTTAAAAATCAAGAGGCAGGGCCGGCCTGGTGGCACACTGCGCTAGTGCGCCACTTGGGAAGCACGGCTGCGCTCCCACTGAGGGTTCGGATCCCACATACAGACCGG